TCACTTTTGGCAGTCAGATCCAAGCTCCTTGTGTCTCATTATGCCATTTAATACATAATGCTTAAGACACCAGTTGATCCTAACTCTGAATATTCAACAAAGGTAAAGGAGTCTGGTGACCTGGAAATAAATGTTGGTACAGTTTGGTAAAAGTTACTGTTGCAAGATGATATGAATAATGGAACCTTCATTAGCCGTACTTGATAGTATTGAAATTATCTAAGAAAGTCTTGAGAGCCGATCTATTTGTGTAATAAGGCATATGCAGTTTTCTTTAAATTTCTTCATATTAAAACTAGGAATTAGAAAGCAAGGCAATCCTTGTTGCAGTTTGCTATTATTAACAGCATTAGCCTGTCAATAAGATGCTACTTATATATATATATATATATATATATATATATATATATATATATATATATATATATATATATATATATATATATGTGTGTGTGTGTGTGTGTGTGTGTGTGTGTGTGTGTGTGTGTGTGTGTGTGTGTGTGTGTGTGTACACGCACGCACGTAGCACGCACGCACGCCCGCCCGCACGCGCGCGCGCACACACACACACACACACACACACACACACACACACACACACACACACACACACACACACACACACACACACACACACACACACACACACACACACACACACACACACACACACATACACACACACACACAGCTAGATATCTACACGAGCTAGCTCCTTTGAGGGGTCCCATATATATATATATATATATATATATATATATATATATATATATATATATATATATATATATATATATATATATATATGAATTTATATTTATATACATGACAAAAATTGTAATCAGTTACTTATTTGAAATGGAGCAGTTTTCTTTACCTATACCATTAGCATTTGAAGTTGAGGAGAATTTATTGAAAATAACGTATGTCGTTAGCTGTTTAATACTATTATAGCCTGCATTAACAAGAAAATAAATGATTTAGATTTAAAGATCATCTATTGGACATTCTTATCAGCAAAATTACTCATCTAGTCATTCAAAAATATATGTATGATTTAACTTGTTTACTTACTAGATTTTTGTTTTCTTTTTGGGGTCAGGCATCCTTAAGGGCCCCCACCCTTGTGGACCCCTTCACCTACACTGCTGCATATACATATATAGACACACTTATACAAGGGAAGATAAGGGATAGCTTCTCTGAGTGTCACATGCTGGATTTAAGATTATATTACTTAAATGTGGTACTGTATTTGTGTATAAAATACCAGTAGCTTTGTTTGAAGAGTAATATGAAATTATATGAATACACATGCTCAATACCACTATCATATTAATTTAAAATATGCCAAATGGGCATTGTTTCACAAAATTATTTGGAGCTGAAAGTGAGTCTGATGTAACTGAATAAATCGTGTTTCATAATATTATATTCATTTTATATATATTAAAATAAAACTGAATTATAAGTTAATGAAATACCTAAGTTATTTCTTTTTTTAAACTACATTTCTGTTTTTATTCTACTTTATTGGGATAGAAAATTTACCATATTGATGTTAAAATAATATAGCATACCATTTCACATGGAAAGTGTAATAGGAAGGACACTAACATTTGAACTCTGAGAAACAAATAGTGTACGCAATGCACCTCTGATTTTCAGAATTACTCCATCTCTAATTTTTTCAGATAAAATACTCAGTTTTACCTTTATATTGTAATTTTCCAATTACTATTGTTTTTTTATGCTGTACTGAGGATGTTCCATTCTTCCAGATCAGTAATAGCCAGATAATATATTTCACTGAAAAGTACTAGTCATATTTTATTGATGCAAGAATATTGCTTTCACCATGTATAATATAATTAATCTGTATATTTTTTAGGTATACTAGTGAAACAAAGAAATGAGAAAAATGCAAAAGTTTATTTGTTGAAAAGTTTAGTATAAAAAATAATAATGTCTTTTACAAAGTTATGGCACAAAACGTTAGATAAGTTAGTGTTTTACCCATCCGCAACCACACTATATGCAAACGGGAGCAGCCAACTAGAACAAGTTAGAAGCAAAAATATAATGGAATGCTGGGAATACTCCTTTTACAATTACTGATAATTCAAGAAAATAAAAGTGAATAAGTAAAATTACTTCCAAGGAGAAAAAAAAAAGAATTAGAATCATGACATTCTTAGTGAAAAAAATAGAAAATGGGAGAGTTCAAGTATAAACAAAGAATTTTAGATAAGATGATCACCAGACCGAACGGGTGATGAATGAACCACATTCAGAGAAGGTAGAGCCTAGGTACTGGATGTAGCTGGGAGAGGAGAAAGTTTTAAACTGACAATGTCTAGAGAACACAAAAAAGTCCCTACAGAACATTTAAAGAAATTTGACAAGCTTAAATCATACAATATAAATTACCAATGAATGAGCAAATCAAGTTTGACAATCCCTTTTGCCTGGGATCTGGAGCTTCAGTAAATAAAATTTTAGATCACAAAATTAAAGACTAAAAGTTCAACACCACACAACATCACACACAAGATACCCACTTGTTGTACTGTTGCACATTAGTTGAAGCCACTAATGTTTAGGATCCAGTATTGGCATAACTTGAGCAAGATAAAAACCCTTGTCACTATTAAGTCATATGGTAGATGAATTGATGTGGTTCATCAGCTCCATAAAGCTAAAGATTTATAATCATAAATATACACCTAAGAACCAATTTTCTCAAACCTGACATCCCCTTCCCCTCACACTTCTTTAAAAGGTTGACACAGCAGAGTATTAACAAAATATTATCATAACGAGACATACAGTATATATACAGATTATGCATAATATGCTGCAAGATTGCAGCAAATGGAATGGTATGAATGATAAACATAACTTAGGGAATTCTTGAGAAAATGAAATCTTAGAGTCGACCATCATAGCAATAGCAAGGAATGCTAGGCCGACTAGTACCAGTAATTACATCTAAGCAGAATAGGGACTTTAGCAAGTTTTACAAACATTGAATTTATGCTTAAGTGAAATTTTGAATAAGAGAAAATCTCACTCAGTGCTGTAGACTGTTAGACACTGAAATGAGCATTTACACCTGTTAAGATATTAAATTGCTTAGTCCAAACTATGCAAAAAGATGCTATAATATGGTACAAGAATTGTGTTCATAAAAGATTCTTACACTTTATTCCTGTTTGGCAATGTTTACTTTACACTAATTAAATATTACGCAAATGTGAGATAATAAGTTTTTAAAGATACAAAAAAGTCTTTCTGAACACAATTTTAACACAACCAACTCAAGAGACCAACTCTTTTGTCTTTTGAAGGCCAACTTTTAATTCTGTAGCAGTGAAGAGACAGAGCATTTTTTACCATCTTTCTTTGAGCTGTTATTGAAAGATTCGTCATGATTACTTTCCATGCGTCAAATCTCATCACTTTAATCACTGATGCTATTGAACACAACCTTTCAAACTTTATTAAGGCCTAACTGATTGCCAAGAGTTTTCCATACTTATAAAACCAACGCCACAGAATTTCCATCACAAAATTATACTGATAATATCAGTGTTTCCAATACCATATATCTCTGAAAATTACAGTTCTTAAATATTTAGCTGTAGAGTAAAAAGTCTCAAAAGCTTATCAAAATGGAGAATAATTCACTGACAACATTTATAAGAAACCTGCTACACTTAGCCAGGAACACCCAGACATCTACTGTTATGGCTGGTACTGCCTATACATACATATATATATTTTTTTTTTGCAAATTTATTTATTTATTTTTTCAATGCCAAAATCAATATTACATCTTTCTTTACTAATACCCCTTCAGTCATAAACCATAAAGTAATGATTAAAAGTTATTATCTAATATTCCATTTAAGATTACTTTTATTTGAATAAGGCATAGCAGTTGAACAGATGATGCGATTAGGGTCAAAACAGCTTTTACTTTACAGTTCTTACAGACTTGCAATTACTCAGCAATATATGGTATGACAGTTAAGTGTTCAAAGTGGTCTTATATACAACCTCTGAGATACTGCACACATCAAAGTGATTTATACAACTAAAGATACAAAACATATACTTAAACACATATGAAAGTTCTATTGAAAACACAGAGCATGTGTTTCACTGGGTTTGGCACATTCTTTCAAAATCTATTAAACATTCATATGTAAAATATTCTATTCTACGGGATGTTACAGCTTATATAAGAGGGAAGAGCACAGTTAATTAATGATACAAGTTTGTGAGTACCCAAATGGCATGGAAGTACTATAACAGCAACAAAAAGCACATGGGTAAAGACACAACATCTACAACCTGGGTATGATGATAAAGAGAAAAACCCGGAAACCTACATAAATAAATGTAAGGTCCCATGAGTCCATACCAGCAAGTGAATCACAATAAAAAAAAAAAAAATAATAATAATAATCTGTAATGTAATTTAAATGAATGAATCTGTGATTATGTATACCAACAAGTGAGTTTATTCATAAACTAAAACATCCTATATACCAACAATCTTACTTTCCCGAGTGACGATATTAACAAGGGCAGATGTAACATCAGGGAAATACAAATCCATACTATCGCAATATTGAGCACACACAGAAGTCTTTGGCACATCCTTCTTGCTCACATATGACAGGCAGGAGTAACTAAACAATTGAGCAAAAGTAAAGCAAATAAATTCTTTGACATTTTATCTTTGATAAGAATTAATGAGCCAATGTTATGCCCTGCCACCCACAATGGCATAAAATATTGAGCTATGTTGTCATCAGCAATGAGGTTAATTTCATTATTGTTCTAATGACTTGTAGATCTATAAACTACAAACAGGCATTTTTTTGTATCATCTATTGCTTGAAACAGTTTCACAAAGTGGGTAAATACTACAAAAATGCCATTTAAAAAAAGAAAGAAAATAAAGCTCAAAGTTATAATACCCAAATTTGTCTTTACAGTTTCAAAGTGAGAAGATCGTTCTGATCAATTTCATCCATCGCAAAACCAAAGAAATTGTCTTCAATTATTAAAATCTGAAAACAGAGCATGCTTTCGCTATTTGGTTATCATCCACTTTGCAGATTTTTACCAACCTGATTACTGCCAAAAATATATTTAATTACCCCATCAGAATTTTTCACATAAACCTGAAAAGGGAAGAAAAGTCCGAACACAACTTTGATTAACAACCTGCTTCACCCAAAACTTGCAATTCCTTTCATAGTTTATCTCCATTACAAATTTCCCTACACTACACCATCTAACCCCTCAATACTGTTTCACTTGGTAGATGAAGCACTTATGGATTATAAATTAGAAGTTGGCAATATTGATAAATACATTAATGAACAAAGAATGAAATAATCACAAACAACAATGTTTCATCCAAATGCACATGTATGGAGATGAGGAGAAAGTAGTGTTAAAATCTTAAGAGTTGCAGAAATGAATGAACAAATAATGTGAACTTCTAAAACTGTTCTTGGCTCTTCACTATACTCTATATCATTTATCAATGAAAATGGTACCAGTTAACTGAGCTTAGAGCTGTGTATAGGGCATTCTTGCTGACTCATGCCTTTCTGCTGTTGAGCTGAACTGATATCATGACTTATGTCTTTTAAAAAGAGCACCACAGTATTAATAAAAATTCACAACTGTTAAAAGGATACTTCTGCAACTACAATTCATTGCAATACAGTACAAATGATTCCATGAATAAATAAGTATTCCTGTTATAACCAACATAACCCCATTCTACATAACTGCAGCAACCAAATCACAACCTTGTCGAAACAGCTACCTCAAAGAAAATAACATCAAATTGCAGTTGAGCATTGTAAATACCATTAGTGTTCTGCACCTCAAGTGGTCAGCTTTTTCTCTGAGAAGACTGATTGTATGAAAATAAATCTTATGTCACAGTATTAAAACTGCACAGTTGGTATTTTACTTCATGAGGATAACTCATTTGCCATCTATGTGGCAACTACCCTAATGACCATTTTGCACATTCTGAATTTTACACTCACTAATTTTAAGACATTGAATCCTGAATTCTAACTGACTTACTAGATTTGTTTAAATGAAACTTTACTTTTTTGGGAAAAAAAAAATACCAGAAAGATATCTAGCTCATGTTGTACTTCATGTGGAGAACATCGTTCAGGTGTGTATCATCGGCAAGACCCATCTTCTGTCGGGCCTGGCGAGCATCTACGCAGAGGTCGTGGGCATAGGCGCAGGTGGCAGGCACGGCGAGGATCTTGCGTGCCAGAAGTCGCAGCGTAGAAAGTCCTGATGCTGAGGTGCCAGACCACCATCCGAGTATGTCGTCATCGTCCAGGTGCACCTGCGGGATTTCAAGCCATGAGACACCGGTCGCTATGGTCGAACACAAGCAATTACAGGCAACCTTAAGTGTCTGACCCAAAGTTTGATATGGTCAGGTAATGACCTTTAATATGCAATTAAAATATTTTGAATTTAAAAAGCGTACAAAATATGAGAATTACGTGCAAGTGCGCGTCACACGTCTCTCACTCTCTTTCTCTCGCACGCACGCGCGTGCACACACTCACACACACACACACACACACACACACACACACACACACACACACACACACACACGTATATGTTATGTGCCGTTTGTGTGTGTATGGGCTAGCGTTTGTGTATTTGCATCAGCGAATGTGCAGGCTTCTCCTCTTTTCAGCCTCAGCGCACTGACCGTACCTTCATGTTGACGTAAGCCATGATCTCTTCGCTATCAGACACGGACGTATCTGGCGCTGGATTGTCCATATACTCGCGGAAGGGATGGGCCTCGTGGGCATTGTTGGTGTCATTGCCTGCGTTGTGGGAGTTGTTGTACTGGCGTCTTGTCGTCTTCAGGTTGAGGACGCCCGAGTTGGCTTCCGTCACGGCCACGGACTTCATCATTTCCAGGACGTGGCGGTGCACCTCGGTCTTCTCCGTCTCACTCAGAACCTGCGGGGAAGAAGGAGGGGTTTAGTGCTAAGGACGAACGGGGGGACATAAAGGTAGGCCTATGTGTAAAGGAAGGAGTTATCATGCTGGATATTTTGCCGTATGACCTCTTCAGCTGGGCAGTTTTAATAAGATAGCAGATGTACTGTAAAGAGGTATTGTTTTGATTGAAACAACACCGAAGGGGTTTTGGACTTCTTTAAATGTGCTAAAACTGTCTATCGGTCTGTTTGTCCGGCTGGCTACCTGCCCTCTCTCTCTCTCTCTCTCTCCCTCCCTCCCTCTCTCTCCTCTCTCTCTCTCTCTCTCTCTCTCTCTCTCTCTCCTCTCTCTCTCTCTCTCTCCTCTCTCTCTCTCTCTCTCTTCTCTCTCTCCCTTTCTTTTTTCCTCCCTCCGTCAATATTTCCCATTCTCTTTTCCTCCCTCCTTCGCCTCTCTTTCCCTCTCTCCTTCTCC